TGAAGCAACTGCCATGTGATTGGTTGATTAGATAATTGCATTAATGAGAAATTGAACAGGTGTTCCTAATAATCCTTTAGGTGAGTGTAGATGACAGAACTACACACTGTACTATGTAGAAAAAAACAACACATTGGGTTACCATGGAAACTGATGGCATCATTTCACAGTTTGGTGGGATCTGTTGGGAACCCAAGGAATGTTAGTTGAGTTCTTAGCAAAAACTGCGTGTTGTACACACTGCAAACACATCTGCAGAGGAAAGCCAGCAGACGATATAGAGACACCAGATGCAAGCATGGCTTTTTGGGGGGCAGCCATGTAAGACCTTTAACAGTGCCATCATTAAGCAGGCTAAAATACCAAGGAGCACACCATAAAATGCAGCGTGCCCCTGGCATTTGCGTGTCTGCAAGTGGATATGCTGCTGTTGTCCTGGGAGGGGGGGTTCCGGTGGGGACATGCAGAGCACAGACATGGAGCAAGACAGACATGAGGTACATGACAGGCAACATGGTATGGGCCTGCAGAAGAGACATTATGCATAAGAAACATTACACATAGCAAACTCTCACCCCCACCCCCTATTCTCACCATCTTTAATGGATTCAATTACATCATAAGTGACACAATCCATGGGATTCCTGATAGCCTAAGTTGTGTCAACTCAAAACGGAAAGATAATGAGCCTTCTAAGTTTTTTTTTCTATTCAGTCAGTGTTTTATAAGGGGCAAACCTAGGTAGATTAACAACTGATTCCTTTGGCTCCTCAACATGCTATTCTAACACATCTGTGTATCACACTGAGATGTTGAAAGAAAACCTCCAACTTGCCTATGACATCTGGGAAAGTAGAAAATCTTCCCGGTGAATGAAAGAACCACATCACTGGCAGTATGAGCAAGATGGGCTGCGTGTGTCTGCCGGAAACAATGCTTTAACCTCCCATCTACATTTTCTATTTTCTATTTGGAGCCCACATACTTTCATTGGTGACTCGAACAGAGGAGCCTGTTATCGACCTGGTCATGAGCCTGTCACTTTGGAGCTGTCTGGCTTTGTGTGTGGGCTGAAGAAAAATTATTCAATTCACTCAAAATTTATTTGAGTCAACTCAAATAAAAGGAAAAACAGAACATTAAAAAGGCTTATAACCTGAAGACCTTGTACTGTATTTGCCTGGATGATCTGTATCTTGACATTTCTCTAACTTTCTTGGGCAATAAAAGAAAATAATGTATGATACATTTGGTACTATATAATTATATAAATTATCTTTCACACCAAATGTAAAATGCTCTGTGACATGCCTGTGTTGAGCATCACAAAGGTATTAGCAGTGTGGGAAACCATATCATCTGCTTTGTGTTATGTCCCAGTACCTTTGTACTTGCATTGCAAGACCTGATTTTTTTGATATTATGCAAGTAATACCTGTCCTGTTTAGTTGCTGATAATGTTTATTTTGATAATGTTTATGTTAAATACTGCATTGTCAGTGTTCTTAGGACATACGTAATTCCTTTGCACATGTATAATGAGATAGTCTGCTTGATTTTTACACTTTATGCTTACTATTTCAGATTGCAATGCATATTGTCTGTCCTGCCGCTCATGCATGTTTTCTGTCCTACCCATCAAGCATGTGCCATGTCTGTTCTGTGCCTTGTGCGTGTTGTGTGTCATGCATCTTGGGCATGTTGTCTGTCCTATGCCTCATGTTTCTTTCCTGTCCTACGCTTCGTGAACATTTACCTGTTATGTTCCTTGAGTCTTGTCTGTCCTGCACACTGTGCGTGTTCTGTCCTAGACACATACTGTAGGTGACACATGCACCTTGTCTGTCTGTGCCTTGAGTTGTCCGTCATGTGCCTTGTGCGTGTTGTGCATTGTACACCTCATGCATGTTGTCTGGCATGTGCATTGTGTGTTGTCTATTGTACACAACATTTGACTATGTCACAGGTTTAGTCAGATAGTCCTGCTGAGCTTAGAATGAAGGCAGATGTATATAGAACACAGAGACTGGTCATAAGTGAGGCAGTTTAAACTACTGAGGGGTGATGACCACCCAGGAAGTGTGGACAGGGGTACAAAAACAGAGTACAAAGAAGGCTAAGACAAGAATATCTGACATGAAGATGTGCAAAACTGATACCTGTGTGACCCTCTCTCTAGCCTCAGGGTCTACTGAACCAGTGAGCCACCCATCTAATCTGCAGTCGCCAGCATCACACATTGTCATATGCTATATCAGTGGTTTACAAAGAGAGCAATACCTGAGATTTCTGCAGGTTATTGTAAGAATGAGCTGAATAAAGATGGCTACATGGTGAACTATCAAATAGAATAAAGTTCAACCTATACCAGAGACACAATACTTTAGCACTTGGCTCTCCTCCCCTCCTTCCTTACATCGTGTCGTGAGGGTGCCAGTTTGGGGCAGAAGCAGAGTTTGTCCACCACCCACAAACAGAGAGTGGAGGACCCAGTTCAAACTCAAATGTGGCATCCAGGTATAGCAGCTTGACCAGGAGCAGCAGCACCTATTCAGGTGATTTCATCTACCTGGATACTCATGTGCGAGGGTCCACGATGCTGAAACATCTCCGTAAGGATCTCAAATTAAGGCTGGTGATTGGTGTCTCTGATTTTGTCAATGGCTGTGTCATCCCATGTCCTTTTCAAGTCTTTCAGTGCAGTGGGGTTTTGTGCTTTGATGCTTCAACATGAGGATCAGGGTCCAGTAGCAGGGTTCCACTGAACCTCTGAGGTACTGGGGACTGTACACACTCCATCCTACCTAGTCAGCAGTTTTACCTCCTCCTGCATGGAGGCATGGTTGGGTTTTTTGCAGTGATGGAGTGGTTCTTTGCTTCTTCAGCTTACAGAGGGAAGGGCTCAAGGTGTCCCACTGGGAGGTTTCATATCTCCTCCAGAGAGCTTCGTGGGACCAGCCCTTTCTTCTTCCCACTGCTGAGCCTCAGGAAGCCATTACTCTCCTCACTCTTCCCCACGCATATCTGAGGGATTGGAAACATGGAGAGGAAAGAGAAAACCAGCAGGCAGAGTCAGGACAGGAAGATGGAGCTGCAGAGAGAGACAGTGGTCAGAAACAGGAGATACTAAAGAAGAATCAGAAACCCTCCACCTGCCTAGACCTCTGCCTGCCTGCCTGTTACCCTGACTCTGATCTGTTTTCCCTGAGGACGATTCTAGCCTTAACCTCTGAGTGCTGATGATGATTGCCTGATTATCCGCCTGTCCCAGACCTGAGCCTGCCATGCCCCCTGGATTCTTGTACATAAGAACATAAGAATTCCTACGAAGATCGCCCGACCCCTGCCTGTCTCCTGACCACAAGCCCAGAACACATTTTTGAATTTTTCTTCCCTGGATTACAGTCTGTTTAATAAAAACTGCTTGCACCTGACTGACCGGCTACAGCGTCCTCCCTCTTCACACGACCCCCTCTTCTGTGACAGTGACATACACTACCTGGCCAAAAAAAAAGTCACACAGTTCAATATTTTGTTGGACCGCCTTTAACTTTGATTGTGGTGCACATTTGTTAATGCATTGTTTCCATGTGCTTATGCAGCATTTCAACATTTTTTTCACCCAGATTTGCATTAATTTCTCATCAAGATCTTATATTGATGGTAGGTGAGTTGAACCACTCCATAACATCTTCTTCAGTACATCTCAAAGACTTTCAGTGGGGTTAAGGTCAAAACCATGCTGCCCAATTCACGTGTGAAAATGATTCCTTGCGCTCCTTAAACCACTCTTTGACAGTTTGAGCCCTATGAATCTTGTCATTATCATCTCGGAATATGCCCATGCCTTTAGGTAAGAAAAAATCCATTGATGGGATAATCTGGCTGCTCAGTAGATTCACATATTCAGCTGACTTTGCCTTATTGCTGCATAATGTTGATAAGCTTTAATAGCCATGCCATCATTGGCTTTTAAGTACCTGCTAATTTAAATTCAAGCGGTGACTTTTTTTTTTTGGCCAGACAGTGTATATTGCCAAAGTCAAAATAATCAGCAGTGCAGAACCATAGCCAATCATCACCTGGGAGTATTTGATGGTCATCTGGCCTTTCTCTCGATTACCATGGAAAGCCTGGGTGACCATCCATACCCGTTCACCTGGTCGGACCCTCTGCACGAAGTTAGCTGGGAAGAAGCCCACCATGTCCTTGCTTTTCCCCTGCAAGGACATAAAGGTACTCAGACCATGGGTAAACCCACAGTTGGAAACTCTATATAGCATTATATACTGAAACTCATTGGTATGTATGGACAACATTCTAGTCCATCACCTGTATGTCTAAGCTTGGCAATATAAAGCCAAGTTAAATCAGGTGTATAGTTTGTGTAACCAAACAGAGATATGGACTGGCTGGGGGCCAGGTCAGACGGCTGCCTAAGGAACTGCTATGGAAAAGCACAATAGCAATATGCATAAGAATAACAGCAATGGCAGCAACAGAAATAGCAGCAGAGGTGCTGGCAGCTACAGCTCATAACAGTACAGCTTTACAGGCTACCTGACAACAGAGACCTGCCAACATAAGCAGAGCCAGCTGCCCAGGGAAGCAGCATTTGGCTTACACTGCAGTTTGGGGAGGACTGAGAAGCAAAAACCTAACCTTAAATATACTGTATAAAAAAAAGAGTAAACCATATGGAAAAAATAGTAGCAACAGGCCAGTGGGCTGTTGTTTATTGCAATCAGGGTACATCGAAAGCTACTGTACCAAAGCCCCTGGATTTCATCCATCCATTTTCCATAAACAATTTATCCAATGCATGGAACCTGGAATCGATCCTCAAAGCTAAACTCTAAAAAATGCTGAGTTAAAAACAAACTGGCAACCCAGTAATGGGTAAATATTGGACAGAACACGTGGTTGGTTATTTTGACCCAGCCTTTGGAGTTACACAATTAATCCTGATGCTTTGTTGTTGCAATTATTAAAATCTGGGTTATTACTGATGTTTGGTTACATGTACCGTTGCTGATGGGTTGTAAATTTATGTCTTCTACTGTTATTAAATATATATATTAAAAAAATACCATGCATACATCCATCCATCCTCTGTACCTACTTGTCCTATTCAGGGTCAATAGGATCCTATTCAGGAAGCTACAGGCACAAGACATGGAATAACCCAGGATGGGATGCCAACCTATCACAGGGCACACTCACACATATACACTTATGGAAAATTTAATGACTTCAATTCACCTTAGAATGTTTTTGGATAGTGGATGGAAAACCAGAGTACCTGGAGGAAATCGCAGGACAACACATGGAAACTCCACATGCACGGAGCCAGGGCAGAGACTTGAGCCCTGATCCTTGAGGTGTGAGGCAACAGTGATAACGACTACGGCACAACACTGCCCCAATTTTCTTTATTGATTTTCAAACAAATTTAGGCTAATACAAAGGACAATCTGAGTAAACAACACAGTTTTAAAATAATCATTTGACTCATTGAAGGAAAAAAAATTACCATCACCCATGTGACAAAGTAATTGACCCCATACTCACCCAATCAGCCCATGAACCAAATCTAAATGATAAAGGGGTACATTAAACTAGACACACCTAAGCTTGTTTGCTGCCAGCCCTGTTGAATCTACACATCACTTAAATGGATCCATTCCAGCAATGTGGAGGTGGATAAGGGGTCTCAAGAAGCAGCACGCCATGCCTAGGTCTAAAGAACTTCCTGAAGACCTGTGAAAGTAAGTTATTGAAATATATCAGTTGGGAAATGGGTAAAAAGCATTCTCTAAAACTCATGAATTTTAACAAACCACTGTCAGAGTCATCATCTCCAAATGGAAAAAACTTGGAACAGTGACAGACCTGCCCAGGAGAGCATGGCCTAGCAGACGTATTCCAAGAGCACATAGAGAACTCATCAGGGACGTCAGAGCAGACCCCAGGCGTCTATGGAACTGCAAACCTCTCTAAGTTCAAATAATGTCCTCATTCATGATTCCACAATTCCAAAGACACTGGGCAAAATGTTTTCCATGGAAGAGTTTGAAACGCAAAAATCACAGCTAAACAGGAGGAACATGAAGGTTTATCTAACATTCGGCAAAAAAAAAAAAACACCTTGATTACCCCCAACAATTTTGGGTGAATGTTCTGTGAACTGATGAGTCAAAAGTGTAACATCATGCCAACAGTCAAACACGGAGGTAATGTGATGGTGTGTGCATGCTTTGCCACATCAGGGCATGGGGGACATGTCATAACTGAGGGATACATGAATTCAGCATTTTATCGGAAAGTACTGAAGAAGAATGTCCAGTCAACAGTCAGTGATCTGAAACTGACACACAATTCGGCCATACAGCAGGACAATGATCTGAAACACAAGAGCAAGTCCACCTCTGAAGTGGCCTTGTTAAAGTCCTCATTTTAACCCCAGATGTTGTGATGGGACCTTAAATGGCAGTTCATAGTCAAAAACTCCCTAATGTGGCTAAATTAAAACAATTCTGTAGAGTATGATGACCAAAAATTTCTCCACAGTAATGCCAAAGACTGATTTCCTCTTACTGCAAGCATTTGATTGCAGTTGCTGCTGCTAAAGGTGGTACCATCAAGTATTAAGTTTAGGGGGGCAGTTACTTTGTCAAATGGGTGATATTATTTTTCTTTAATAAATTAAATGAACATTTAAAAACTGTGTTATGTTTACTCAGGTTGTCTTTTGTATTATGCTGAATTTTCCGATCAGAAGCAATTAAATTTTATGGATAAGCAAAAATAGAGGGAGTTAGGAAAATGCAAATACTTTGTCACAGGTGTCATGCCCCGCTCCGTCCGATCCTACTGTGTGCCACGCCCCCTCGTTAACCTCATGTGGAATCCCAGTGTTTTACAGCTGTTTCGGATTGTTGTCATTAGTTCAGTGTATTTAGTCCGCGTTTCCGTTTGTATCCCCAGTCCGGTCATTGATGTTGTGTTTGTGTTATGCTCTTTTGGATTAAACCCCTTATTTCCCCGATTCCTGGCTTCCGTGCGCCTGCTTCCCCGCTCCGTGCTACACTCGCCATAACAACAGGACTGTTTATCATTATTAAATATCACAACTAAATATTGTTTAAAAAATGTATTGCCGTTCACAGAATTCAGTCAACAAACATGAATATCTAGCAAACCAGCTTACTCTGCTGTACTTTGGTATCAACCTACCCACAATAATCACAATTATATTAATTGCTATAAATGTGCTAATTTTATTATTAATAAGCAGAATTATAAAATCAAGGCATCAGCACTGAATTGCAATGGGACACTGAATTTCCATCGTAAGCCCTGCAGATGTATGGCAGCTGTGAGGGTATCGCTGACCTTTGCGGTGCTTGATGCTGGCCTGATGTGAGCTGACTGTGATTCCTCCTTCTCTGCTTCCCTTCCTGCTTCCATTACAATGAGAGAATCTTGGTAAATGACCATTAAACGTCAACACAGACTAAAGCATTTATTAAATACTTATTCTTTAATATTTAAAGACTTAAGCCAAAGTCACAGTTTGTCTTGGTTTACTTAGAAACTAAACTAAAAGTGGTAACTACATCTACAGACAGATACACACACTTTTTACCAACCTTCCACCAGTCCTCGTCGGAGTCATCTGTAACCTGCACACGGTCACCAGGACTGAGACAGAGAAATAAAAAGAACATTAATGAGGAAGAATGTCATCGGGGGGTGCTGGGGGGTGAGCAGAATGAAACAAAAAAGAACCTTTTCAGAGAAAAATCAACATTTTTCATCCTGAAAAAAATATCAAACGATGTGGACTTTCCTCAAGTATGAGAACACACACTTGAAGTGAACATGACTCACTGCAGTGGGCCCAAGGAAGCAGGTGAATGAAATGTCAAGCCAATTAGCAGCCTGTGATGGATTCACTCAGCCTAATGCAAGTTTCTTCCTCTCCAGGTTTTAGAGCCAGGTGATCTTATTGGGCACTTCTTGTCAAAACTTGTGTTGTGTATTTTTATATGATAGTCGTTTTGTAAAATTTTTCAAGAGTATATTGCTGAGAAAGGTCTTAACTATTATGTAGTCTGATTAGCAAGTATCAAGAGTCATGATGTAAAATATGCACGCTGCATGTGTGTGGAGGAGAATTATTCAGGAGAGCAAAAAAAGTGTTTTGTTTAGTTCTACCTGTATGTCATTCTCGAAATTGTGTACACATCTGCCAATTATGACTAGTTTTGGCATTAATATAATTAAAGCCTCAGGAGCACACCCTAAAGCTTACCATGCCCCATACACTTTTGCATTTTTCCTTTTAACCCACTGAAAATTATTAGTACATGTATGCCTTCGATATGATCCTTATCCAGTCCCCACTGGCCTTGGAAAGGAGCCTAATTTCCTAATAAACATCCCATTTCTATGCCCAGAGTCACATGGCTCTGTTTGCAGGACTAGAGCCAGAGAGTTAAGGAGCATGCACTGATTACAGTGCCACACCCACCACACGACAAACCACCTCAGGGATGAGAACCTGAGTGCAGCCATGTGGCAGGCAGTACCTCAGCACCACACTAGTCTGAATGGACTAGAGCCAGTTTACGCTAATATGCATATGTTGCAACTGCAATATCATCCATCCATTCATTTTCCAATCTGCTTATCCTACTGGGTCGCGGCAGCCTGGAGCCTATCCCAGAAGCAATGGGCACAAGGCAGGGAACAACCCTGGACAGGGGGCCAGCCCATCGCAGGGCACACTCACACACCATTCACTCATACAACCCCTCGACGTCACGGGGAGAACATGCAAACCAACTGCAATATTTGTGTAGGCCACAATCTACCTTGGCTAAATGTATTATGAGTATTGAATATCCTGTTGAAGTGTTGGTAACACTTTACTTAAGGCCATGATTTTAGTAATTTATAAACACAGCCATAACAAATAATAATGCATTCATAAAGCATTATAAACATGGCTAAAATGTTTATCAAAAGGCACAACGTGTATTATGCCTCATGAATGCTTATCTATCTTATCTAGACAGTGTATCTTATCTATCATGCACTATAGATACCTTTATGATGCATTATAATATTTGGTATAAGCATTAAGGATGCTTCATAACTGCATTATAATGTTATCTACAGTGCATTATAAATGAGAGCTTCATAAGGCAGTTATAATATATAATAAACATAGGTATAATATGGCTTCTTATGAACATTTTACCCATGATTATAATGCTGTATGTCTTCATTATAATTCATTATGAATGTGTTTATTAATTACTGGATCTGAAGGACTGACCTCCTCTCATTTGTTACCTCATTCTTAAGATTTCCTTACATTTGCCTTTGGTTAAGCATAAACTGTGATCAGGGTGACATTAGCTTGATACAGACAATGGCATAATCCATGAGGGGTAAACTCACTGTAGCTCCAAGTCATTCTTCTCCTGGGGAAGGAACTTATACAGTGCTACATAAGTATGGATGGAATGGACCTCAATTCTCTTTGGGGCCTGTGGAGAAAGTTACAGAAAATGAAGGATTATAACATATGCTTATTTGATGTTGACTTCAGTGAAATACTTTGGAAACATTCACACACATTGACTTAAAAAACAAACTTTAAAAGCTTAGGAGAGTGGACGCAGGAATAGGACAGGGATGGCAGCAAGATACAGAGGGGATGAGAACAAAGGAGAGTAGGACAGAAGGAGACCGAAAACCCGGTAGATCACACAGCGTTCAGTATTTGATATGGAGTTTTCAGAGGGCTGCCTGGGTTTGGTATTACATGGTATGTTCGTTTTCAGGCAGTGGTTAAGTTTGGTAAATTGCAACACTGCCACACCTTCAGATTCACTCTGTCTTCTGCCTCTTCCTTTTCATTCTCCGTGACCACAAGGGCTGTGAAAAGACAAAGAGGCATGCTCTGTCACAGTGGCACTGCTGCAAAGGAGACAAGGTCCCTCACAACTTCATCAATCGTCTCACTGTACATGCAGTGACAGCTCACTGGGGATTGTGGGAAAGAAGTGTGCATGTGTTTGTGTGTGTCTGTGTGTAGATTATGTTTGTATTACCTTGTGGGGACTAAATGTTAAGGTTAGGGCTGGGAAGGTGTTAAGGTTGGGATGTTGGGATTAGAGTTTTCCCCATAGAAATGTATGATGAGTTCCCACAAATATATAATTACAAACCTCTTGCGTGTGTGTGTGTGTGTGTGTGTATGCACGTGCACATGCATGGGGCGGGGGGGGGGGGGGGCAAGGGGTTACAATTTGTCTGTACATATACAGTACTATATATACAAAATAAAGGGTACAGGACAAAATCCTGAAAGTTTAGTACTCAGATTTATGTTTATTTCACCTCTGTGAAATAAAACCACATATTTAACTTCTGAAGTAGCAATAAATGCAACCACACCACTCTTGTAGCTATTGATCAGTCTCCACAGCACCATAGGGGAATTTTGGACCACTTCTCCATTCAAAGCTGCGTGAAGTGTGACATTAGTGGGTTTACAAGCATAAAATAGTTATTTTACATCTTGGACAACTGAAATATGTTTAAGTCTAGACTTCCACTAGGCTGGCCTAAAGGTTTCATTTTAATATCATTCATCCATTGTGATGTAGCATGTTTCAGACCATCCAGCTGGATGATCTGGCTGCACTTTTATTTCAGCTGCTGGAATAATGGCCTGACTCTCTCTTGTTGAACTCTGTAGTGCAGCAACCAAGTCCTGAGATAGCAAGGTATTTCCAAACTATGACACCCCCATCTTCATGCTCAATGAGGTTCTTGCTCTGGAATGCAGCATTTAGTTTTTGCCCGTGTGGCCCACATATTTCCCTTTTTGTCTATAAAATATTTTGAGAAACATACAGGTGTTTTTTGGTAAACTTCAACAGCATTCAAAAGCAGAAGAACTCATCTCATCAAGCAGTGGTTTCTACCTCAGCTATAACAAAAGATTCCTAAATTTTGAACAAGGATTCTTGCTGGTTGCCTCTGGATTTTGACAAAATGACACTACCTGTAAAATCCCAGAGCCATGTAACCACTTCCACTTTTTTGATTACTGACTACTACATACTGTTATATGCCTCTAGAATCTAATGGCAAGGGCTTGGTCCTAAATAATCACCAAGTGCAATGCAAAACATCAGATGCAGTGGTGTAAAGCACGCCACCACTGAACTCTAGAGCAGTGGAGACGTGTTCTCTAGAATGACAAATCACACTTCTCTGTTTGGCAATCCGATGGACAAGTCTGGGTTTGGCGGTTGCCAGGATAACAGTACTTGACTGTATTTTTCCAAGTGTAACATTATGGTGTGGGGTTGTTTTTCTGGGGTTGAGCTTGGTCCCTTAGTTCCAGTGAAAGGATCTCTTAATGCTGCAGTATTCAAAGTCATTTTGGACAATTTCAATCTCCCAGTTTTGTGGGAACAGTTCGGGGATGGTACCTTCCAACATAACGGTGCACCAGTGCACATAGCAAGGTCCATAAGGACATGGATGAGCGAGTCTGATGTGAAGAAAGTTGACTGGCTTGCACAGAGCACAGAAAAATTCCCATAAACAAACTTCTACACCTTGTGGACAGCCTTCCCAGAAGAGTTGAAGCTGTTATGGTTGCCAAGGGTGGGCCAACTCCATATTAAGAATGGGATGTCATGAAAGTTTGTGTGTGTCTAAAGGCAGGTGTCCCAATACATTTGCCAATATAGTGTAGCTGACCATAATTTTATTTCATACTCAAATATTGAATGATTCATTACCTTTAATACCAAACAAATAGAGGTACCATCAGACTTTGCTGTCACATTTCCCTCAGAGTTTTTCGAGCATAGCACAAATGTTCATACCAAATTCAAGGGTGGAAATATGCAAAAATATACAGTATAGTATAAAGTATGCATATGCGCACATCAAATATATGCATATATATCCATGCAAATCTGTGACACTGATGATGACTCATAATTGGATGGCCTATCCTTCCCACACATCACTATGTATGACAGCAATAAAAGGTGTATGTATTTGTACAGTATAACTGGCAGGTGTGAGTGTCGCAGCTTGGTGAGTGTGGCAGTATCAGTGCCCTCATGGTCCACAGGGACCTACAGTACAGTGATAGGCTCAAACTGTGGTCATTGTTACCCCTGGGCAATGTCTTCTCCAAAGATCATTAGCTTCTTACGTTAACATATTCTAATGTAGCATCCTGGTGATATGCAGTTGCCCTTGTTCCCAGCCAAGGGCAGTGGGACACACTGAACCCTTACCCCCAGTCTCCATGCTTGACCGCTCCTCTGTGATTGGCTGACTACTGGCCACTCTGCTTTCCACTTCGTTGCTCTGCAGAAGGTAGGGGTGGGGGGTTGGGGGTGAGCACAACTCTTAAGAGCTTACAGAGGCATAGAGACACCCCTAGCAGGTGCATGTACTGATTTAACATGCATAGCCATCACACTCATCTTCACTCTGTTAAATAATCCAGAACAAATTATGATATGCAGACTAGAAACTATTTAGCCTCTATTTTGATATTTCATTCACAGATGCCCTGGTTTAAATGGACTTTATCTTCATTCTTTTAGCCAAGACTACCTTAAATATGGTAAGTTATCTGGCTAAGCAAGAAATCCTCTTGGGCCCCTTGTTATTTTCCTTTATTTTTCAAGTTCTAATTGACAGAGCTATAGACCAGACCCTCCTTCCTAGTTCTGGGTAAACAGTGTCAAGTGACTTCACTATGTCAGCATAAACCAGTCAGGCAATAGGACTCCCAAACAAAGACGCATATCTCGCAAATGAAATATCATCGAAAGAATATTTATTTTGGAGACTCTATAGAATCCAATGATCCCCAGTTGGGTAAGTCCTAAATATCCTCAAGTAATCACTCCAGGCCCCAGAACTAAATTGCTTAACAGGTTAGAATTTCAGCGCTTGTTTACCTTGTTTCTACCATTGCAGTGCCAGAGCTGGTGCTAGACTTGTTCCCAATCTGGAACTAGTTCTGTACATTTCCACTGCAAAAAAACTGGCCCTGGGCCAGAAAAAATGGCTCGACCATGGCACCACAGAAAACCTGGTCTCAGAATTTGGAATGCCAGTGAAAGTGGGAAGGGCTATTGTGTTCAAACCTCGGGCATACCCAGAACATTTAATCGATACCCAATATAATTTTCCCTAATAATGCTGGTGCCAGTAGTGAAACAACTTGCCAGCTTATTACAAGAATAATGTTACATATTTTTTTTACTTTGTTGAAAATGAAAGATTGATCTGCTGGCCAGATTTAATGATAAGTAATAAAAATGTTGCAGGTCCAACAAATTAAATACTGTGGTGCTCAACTGGCGAAGAGATCAGGAGGAAGACAGCAAAACTACATTTTTAGCAATGGTAAAACAGTGAGTAAGAATAAGTTAACAACACAGATCATTTACATAGACAAAAGTGGATACAGGCAATAGAGACTGAATGCAATGAATCATCCTCTGAAAACTTATTTTTTTGGTTTGGTGGCTTGTAAAAACTTAAAATGGGAAACATCAAAATGATTCCAAAAAACGGAATACATATGAACCCTTACAGTACTTCTCTCTCACTGCCACTAGGTAATATTTCTGTTCCGTTCCTTTTTGAAATGTGGAAATGTGGTCTCTGGTTCTCAAAATGCACCAAGCAAGAACCCACCCAGCACCAGCTCCGGCTCTGTGTTGGTGGAAACGAGGCATATGTATGATTTTGCAAGGATTTAGAGCCCAAAACCAAACCAATGCTAAATTCATATAATAAAACTTATTGTTAGTTTCCACTAATTTTTTTGGTGGTTTGTCAGATTAGCCTTATCAAATTAAACTTTGAAGTTAGTGGATTAGCGATTACTGAATCTAACTTTTTGGTTAGCTGTGCCCACCACTGGTAGTATCTAGTCTCTGTCTGCCTATGTTGGGTTGGCACTGTACCACACTGCGGTTCGGCGACTCGGTGATGCTGCCAAAACTGGAGCGGCTCATCTGTGCCAGGGAGGTTCCGTAGCGCAGGGCCTCATATACTGGGTCCAAACTGGGCTTCCCAAACTCTGTATAAGAAGAGTCGGGCAGGGAGAGAGAGTGAACAGAGAGAAAGGTTTGGCAAACATGGCGACGGGTAGTGGGAAGTTTTTCATTAGTCATGACGGTTTAACAGCAGCTGTGTGTGCCATGGTAATGATCATGGCATGAAGAAGTCCCAGACGAATATGACAACACTTTCATGCTTTGGATCCACTTCCCTACACTTGTACAGAAGTATTTTGCAGCTTCCATGTGTCCTTTTACTTATGCTTTATGTTTTAAGACAGAGATAGGGTGGCACTCCGAGGTAATGTTTTGGATCTGATTGCTATTATTATTGAAAGCTATTGTGGGAATTACAAATTGTCAGTAATAATGGGAAACAAGCACTGTTCTATCCCTGAAAGACGATGTGAGAAGGTGTGGCGGTTCAGCAGAATGTGTGGTCTGTACCCTGCTGGGTGGAGGCCTCTTTAACAATGCCCAGCTGGTCATTAATTAGCAGGGGGGAGCTGAAGTTGCGTTTGAAGGCGCCAGACTGTCAAGTGAAGAAGAGAGAAAACAGAGAAATAGAATCAAGGGAGGCGTGACTCAAGCAATTTGAAATGTTACAGAACAAAAAACTATAACAGCCATTCTCAGAAATTCTGCAGTTGAGTTCTTTCCAAATGTTGGTATATAAAACACTGGGTGAGACAGCAAGATTGCCTTTCCACTGATGACTATGCAAGGTCTAAACAATCACCATCTTTATAACAACACATTCAATTGATTCATGCCATCCAACGTGGACTTTAGGAATGTGTGTCAGCACACTGCTGGATGACCAAGCAAAAACTGCTTCCCATGGTGCTGGGGATGTAACAGTCCCAGGGTAAGTGGAGGGAGCTACATTTAAGTCTGCACCTGTTTACATTTCTCTATTTGATGTAATTCCCTTACTCCAATAAACACGAAAGTTTAGATCATATGCTAAATACAGTAAAACCGGTCTAAGTTGACACCAGCTTAAAAGTGACGACTTAGAGAATTGACAAGATACACCTAAGTCGACACTTTGGCGACTTATGTCTATCTCGCCGTTTTGCCAACTAGTAAATATAACACCATACCTCTACTCATCACGGCCTCGGCATCCTTCCTTGACCAGTCAGTACATGCAGTATGGGTTCCTATAAAACCATCCAAGTCTTTTACAGACTGCCATGATGTTATTGCCCCCCGGTCTGTCCAATTTCAGCTGAATGTTGAACCCTCAAAACAATCTATTGTGCTCTGTCATGGATTGCTAACGGAAGAACTAACAGATCTGCTGCACGCATTCATCATGCTCTGCCGTTAATTGTATGGAGCGCTATACCAAGCATAATTGCATCACACTACTCTTCGAGTGCAGCGTTCATGTCAGGGTCTTGACTTGTAAATTTCATGAGCACAGTACATTGCATTGGGTGAATTGGTGAACAAAAAAGAAATGTAATAACAAATAGGTTCTAATCTTTCAAACACACATGTGCATAAGCAGGGATCGTTACCAGGGATTATCAATAAAAATCTTGTGTGAAATACACTGTACATGTAATACTTTTAATTGTCACACCGTTCTGTACCTGTTTAGCGTAAATTACACCATGTTCTAATAAAAAAAATCTTAAATGACGTTGTAGTTTGTGTCCATTTCTGCAGCCAGTGAAAACCCACCTTTGAAGTTTCTTGAAACAAAAATAATTACATGGCCTATTCGACCTGACTTCTGTATTAGTGAGCCGTGCTGCGGTGGCAGATACGGTAGAAACAGATTTATGTGGTCCTGAGATTAAATAAATCAATTCCACAGCCTCGGAGGCGCTCGCGCGCCGCTGATTTAGGGACCGTCAACGAATTACTGTCAGAATAATAAAATACTGATTGCTTGCAATAACTTCAATGCAATGGGATCAAGTAACTCCAAAATGGGTGCATATTCTACAACTACCTGACATACACAGGACACAGTGAATTTTACTCATTTTTAACACTTTATTGTATTTTAAATCATCGTTTTAAAAGGAAAAAGTGGGTAAATAGATTTTTTCAATAGCTTCTAGGCAATGGGGGCTTATGATGCCCAAATGGTGTAAATTATGCTGCTACCTGAGGCCTATAGGACACAGCAACTTTCATTCGATTTTAACCCATTGTTTAATGATATGCTTTTCTTTCTCTAAAATTAGGCCTTTTTTTCAATAGCTCCTAGGCCATGGGAGCCTGCGACCCAAAACCTAGTACCAATTGTAGTACTACCCGATGCCTATAGGACACACTTTCATTCAAGTTTAACCCTTTGTTTAATTGATATGATTTTCTTTCTCTAAAATTAGGCCTTTTTTTCAATAGCTTGAATGAAAGTTGCTGTGTCCTATAGGCCTCAGGTAGAACTACAACTGGTACTAGGTTTTGGGTCGCAGGTTCCCACAGCCTAGGAGCTATTGAAAAAAAGGTTTAATTTTAGATAAAAAAGATCATATCAAGTACACAAAGGGTTAAAATCGAATGAAAGTTGCTGTGTTCTATAGGTCTCAGGTAGAACTACAACTGGTACTAGGTTTTGGGTCGCAGGCTCCCACAGCCTAGGAGCTGGATCTGAATGTCCAACCTAAAACTGATTTCACCTCGGTTCTGCATATCTGTCATAGGTAAGATTATTAGATCCGTATCGCACAGTGTGATCGGTAATGATTTTATAAGATTGCTGAAATCACTCAGTGTGTACCGGGCATTACACTTTAGAAGCATGGTGTGGCACGCTGGAGGTAGGCATGTCTTCCCTACTTTGTTTAATATGACTGTTTGCAGTTACAATAAGCTGCACTTACCTCTAGATGTTTCCTTAAGTTGGACATGGACTGGTTTAGATGTCGACAGCATCTTTACAGCCGGTAAACATGAACTGCATTGCACAGTTAAATTTGTGCATTTTTCTGTAATGTATTGAAATTTTTTTTTTATATTTCCAGCAATGGAATGCATTCCTTTCGTTGTCTGCCATTGCTTGCAACAGGAACTCAGACCGCTCCGGCAAGTTAATTAGCAGAATTGGCTGCAAATGTAGATGCGACATGATAACCAATCAGAAGCATCGAATCGTTTCAAACTTTCGGCTGTGGAGGGAAATAGCAAAGGAGTTTCTATTATAACGATGTTTTGCATAACAAAAACATGAAAAGCAATAAAAATACTGTTATTAAAGATATTAGCAAGGTTTTGCATACAATCTTATGATGTAACTAAAATTGTAATCATGAATGTTTCCATAAGTAACTGTAATTTAATTAAACTTTTTTTCTCTAGTAACTGTACCGGATTACAATAAAAAAAATTGTAATTGAATTACGTAACGCCATTACATGTAACTTGTTACTCCCCAGCACTTCTCAGCAGCTCCCTGCAATACTGTCACTGCTTAGCTTTCTGCACTAGGGTGGACATGTGGGATGCCCATGTCAGATCGTCAGAGATGTTTACTTTGAGGTACCTGTAGCTACTGACCCTTTCTACAAGGGTCACGTAAATTTTGAGGGTTGTGTACTTGCTTAGCTGCACCTTCCTAAAATCCATGACCATCTCCTTAGCTTTAGAGACATTCAGGTCCAGGTTTTTAGCCTTTCACCACACACAATTCCACCACCTTGTCCAGATATGCCATCTCATCCTTGATCAGACCTACCACCACTGTGTCATTTGCAAATTGTGCAGCTGTACCTGTGTGTAGTAGGTGTAGGAACTGGCAGAGACCTCCCAATATTTGATTGCTGAGTTTTTATTGGCTTTTGCTGAAGAGCAAAGTTGACTGAATTGGTTACAGATGGTGCTGGAGAGCTCAAAAACCCTCCCCATCATTTGATAATTGATAAGACCAAAGCTGTCTGTTGGGTCTGTTACACTGACCTCAAATATGTTGCTGGAAACACATCCAACATGCTAACTCATTTGAGGCAACATCATCTGAGCATTTGTATGACTGGAGCAACTCAGAAACAGCTTCTGTATGTTAGTGTCTCCGTGGCATTTGAGGTGTTTTTGCCAGAAAACTCAAACTGGGTTAGAAAAATTAACTGAGGTTATGCGGGTGTTGCTACAGATATGATTGTTATGATGCAGTTTAATTTTTAAATTTTTATTTATTTTACATATTTATTTTAGTATGCAAATTAGTGTCTCAGGTTTTGTTATTCACACACATCAAATAGTCTGCAACTGTTCCTGTATAGTGTTGTGTTGTTGCCTTGTAAACATGGTTGCCGGTTTTTAATCATCCAGCTCGGGTTCTCAAGAAAGATGCATGCAAATGTGACACTACCACAGTACTTTACAGCAGCAAATCTTGCAAATCTTGTCTAGTTGTCCCTTTACTTCAAAGAACCCAAAGTCTGCCCAAACTCTACATTGAAATTGACACAGTAGGGAAAAAGTTTCTGCACACGTTTGCTCATTTATGAGCACCTTGCCAGAATCAGGCATGTCAGTGCCTTAACAAAACCAGGCTGTGTGCAACTGGGAAAATATATTAAGAACATAAGAACTATACAAATGAGAGGAGGCCATTTTGCCCATCGAGCTCGCTTGGGGAGAACTTAACTAATAGCTCAAAGTTGTTAAATCTTATCTAGCTCTGATTTAAAGGAACCCAAGGATTCAGCTTGCACTACGTTACAGGAAGACTATTCCATACTCTGACTACACACTGTGTAAAGAAGTGCTTCCTTAAATCCAGTTTGACATGTTCTCCCGCTAATTTCCACCATTTGTTATTAGCAGTAACAAATGTGACCAATTTAATTACAGTAACCTATATTTAAACTGATATTTAAGCGTGTGGCTCAGTGGGCTAAGCCGTGTGCCTGTAATCACAAGGTCACCGGTTCAAGCCCAGCCTCAGCACGTCTGCGGGTCCTTGAGCAAGACCCTCAATCCCCAGCTCCCTGGGCGCCGCTACACGGGGGAGGTGGAAGGAAGGCCCTACAAAGAGCAAGTTGAGGGAGGCGTAAAAACAATTTCCCCACGGGGATCAATAAAGTATTAATTATTATTATTATATTTCAAAACTGATTTTTAACAAAAAAATTGCCGCTTCAATGAATCATGACTTGTAACTCAATCAATCTTCCCTCCTACCCCTAGGGCCTATTGTGTTAGATCTGGGATGGCACCGGGTAGGTCTCAGTATTTAGTTTAGTAGTTTCCTTCCACCTCCCCCGTGGACTTTAAAAAGGACACCACTGAGCTAACAATTCCTGACAAAAAAATTCAGCAGGAAATGTATTACCTTTAATTCTGCTCCAATTATCTTAATGTGAAAAAGTTAGGAGATCGCTAAAACATTTGTAGGGACAATTTGGTACTCCCAGAATATTGGTAGGGACATGTCCCTACCGTTCATACCCAAATGAATGCCATTGCTGTGGACAGCAAAAATAAAGAGGAGTACCTGATGTAAACCCACACAACATGGAGAGAACACGCAAACTCACCCTGGTATGAGGGAACAGTGTTCCACAGCTTTAACCAGAACAGAGGCATCAGCTACATGCTCCAGAGGCCCTACACGTTTCAGCATCTCATTCCATCCGTACAGCCAGTCAATTATATCTGTGCTGCCTCAGCTGGACTCACCTTGCCAGCACAGGGCTGCTGAGACAGCTCAGACAAGCACCACAGGTGGGCCCCCAGCTTGCAGGATTTGCCGCGCAGGCCTTGTTTGGAGTTTCCTATATGGGTGAAAAGGGTGGTGTCACATAGAGCAGCCAATGGCACAGGAGCCAAACAGCTGCCCTTGTCACCATGGGCTCAGGTGCTAAGATATTAAACATCCAGGAAAACTGCAGAATGCCTTAAATTGCATGAAGCCAAATGATGAACCACAAAATGTGAAAATATTAGGGCTATGAATCCACAAAAAATAACTAATTAACCCCACCGAATACTACAACTATTTACAAGTTGAAACCCCAAATTCATGTAGATTTAACAAAAAGTAAGTAGATATTAATATTTGTTTAATGGTGTCACACAAACTTGTAATGTACAGATTATTCACTTCTAACAAAAAAAATAGTTGTAATCAAGAACAAGATAGATTTCAATGCTCCAAAATGACTGCATGGACAGATGGCAATAAGAAAAGTGAGGGCATTGTATTATAATTAGTGCTGTCAAACAATCAGTTTTTTTAATCACAATTAAACATTGTACCTCATACATTATTTGCATACACAGTCATGCTGCAATACCATCCAAGAAAGATTTTATAGTGTGTATATTCAGGGTGAGTTGTAAATAATATAACAATTTAAAACAATATAAAAGAAGCAAAGTAAATCAGCAGTAGAATCAGAATGCAAACGCTAAGCACAAACCAGTCAGCCCTGCTACAAGTTTGACTCCTGATTAAAGCATGACTTACTGAAGTGACTTCTTATCCAAATCATAACTTCACCCAAACAATTATAAGTTGATAGAAGTTGTGAATCTGACTGCACATTGAACCACTGCAACTTCAAGGAAAGAGCTGATCTGCCAGCATGAAATTAGATCCTATTGGCAGTGTAGGGCTGGGTTTATAACTTATTCTGTATAAGGTAGTATGAGCTTTCTATATGACCCCCATGGACATGTGTGTGACCAGGGGCGGGGAGACGTACCTATGATTATATGTTTGCAGAGTTGGAAGTGGGTGGAACGGCGGAACATGTGCTCCTGGAAGCAATGCAGCTTCACAGGATGCATTTGGGCAGCAGACTTGGATGGCAGGGAAGGGGAGGGGCTGAGGGAAGGGGAGTAGGACGATATGGAGGTATTTGGGCTGAGGGATGGAGAGATAGAAGGGGAGCAGTCGAAGAGAATAGGACACTCCTGCGGGAGAGACGGGAAGGGGGATTGACCACTGGGGATTATGTCGGACAGGAAGCGTGCCTCTCTGCTGGACCTCTGGAAGAAATTCTCCACACTCTTGCTGCGCATCATGGACTTGAAGGATAGCGAGCACTTGAGACATTGCAGCTGTGAGGAATGGAACCAGCATGAGTCACAGTGCAGGAGCAAAACAGCTGCACAAATTGAGAAAGGAAATCAGGACCACTGTGTGACATCAAAATCACAATAACGTCTGCTAATATACATAAAAATGTAATGCCATGTACTGTTAACCCTTTCAACCCTATCCATTTTTGAGCGTTTTTCTATGCCTTTGATTTTATGCTTATTACATGGTATGTACATGAGTTGGCTACATTTGCTTGTTTTTGTTTTCAAGACATTCTGTTCTACTCATAATTTGATATGTAAATGGAGACACAGTCCTGATATCATAGTTTTTATGAGGAAAAACTACTTGCGCCTATTGAAATTTCCCAATTTTTTGTCTCATCTAATATGAGAATTTGCAGGCACTTCAAACATAAACTTATAAATGTTGAGATGAGACTCTCTATGATGTGGGAGTTCAGTGGTTTCATTGGGGACTTTTCTATAGCTTAGTATTGTGAAGGAATACATGGTTAGTTCAGGCAACAATTAACATCTCTGTTTTTGCATCCTTTCGGAAGCTTGTTGAAGTTATCCGATAGACAATAATGCATGATTTTATATACATATATATTTTTAGTTTATAACATATGTAAGAAATTGGAATAGAAGTACTTTGCTTACTGTTTTGGAAGAGCTCGACATTAAACATACGTTTTCAAACTTTTGTGAATAAATATCACGAAATATTAAGTAATTCGCAGCATTCAATTTAAAATAAAAATTCTTTGCATTATACAGAACCTTGTGTTCTGAATCAGCTGGCATTTATTAATAAACATATTATAGAATTAATGAACATAGCAATGCATCTATTTCTGTTATTCCTGTTTTACCTCTAGTCCAGAAATTTCCGCATTATTGCAGAGCTCATTGATGCCTACCAGCTGAGTGGCAAATGCGGACAAAAACAAGAGCAAAATCTCTTCCACAAGCAGCTAAGTGGCAGCCCCCCAAAAAACTGTCTGACTCATGACAGCTACATTTGAAAGAGCAGAGGAACCGGGAGTAGTGTATTAAGACTGATCATGGTTTGGGAAGGTCTCTTCTTCACTCCCCCACCAGATTCTGGGGGCTTGCAAACACAGGACTCCAACGGCTACCCTCTCCCAGGACCCCCTGCCTGCCTCTTTAAAAAAAACAAAAAAGAAAAAAACTGACAGCAATTAGCATAGGCCAAGTGTGCAGAAGACATCAAGATATCAGCCTCTCCAATCTTTGGCAAAATATAAGCAGTGTCTCTCCTTCAAAAAAAGGTTTTCTCACTCATTTGAAGTTGAGGAGAGGGACTTGGCAGGCAGCTATAAATAACTGTGTGGAGATGCATGGATAAATTAATGATTAAGGTGGAAGCATTAGTGAGACATGTTTCTGTGCAATTTGGTATCAAGCCAGTGCCAATGCAAGTGTAATTATGGTAAATGTGCTTTCTGATGACTAACAGGAAGCTTACTCATTAAAAACCCAAGCTGTTAGAATTTTCTGGGGTATTTTCTTAATCTTTGCCCTGAGAAAAGCAGATTGATTCTGTGCCACTGACACAGCAAGACATTGTTCTGCCTCAGTGAGCGTGTCACATGCAAGTTATACAATAAAATGTGATGGCAGATGGCTCTGCTTGCTCAGCAGGCTAATGCCAATGTCTAAGTGTGAGTTTTGTCACTCGCTGGCTGTGACTGGGAGTCCAGCGGACCGGGAGCCATGGACTAATCAGCCAGGGTGTCTCGGGCTGGGGGCCGGAAAGTGGCTCTGCTGACCTGCTGGCTGCCGCAAGGTGGTGGCTGTCAGCAATTAGAGCTGCCTGCAGTTGGAAAAGAGCAGAGAAGCTGTAGCAGCATAAATAGCAGGAACTCCCGCACCAGCTGATTGCTGGTTCTTGGGGGACAAAGAGATATTGAGAATAGTGCAGGCAGTCCAGCTGAGGCCTAATCCTTCCTCTCCTCCCCCCACATACCTCTATGCTTCTACATGCCCTTCTGCTTGTCTCGGTGATGTCCCCAACAAGGGTGTGCTGGCTGCTAACCAGCAGACCAAGCTGTACTGCATTATTGGTGCACCAAGAAGTTAAATGCCCTGAAAACATTAAAGCACGTTTGTGGTAATGTGCATTAATCCGTTATATTTGTTAAGCAAATCTGTGATCTGTGTGATTCTCTCTGTTGACATGAGCTGCACTGCTTTCCATTGCACTCATCCTCTTGGCCTTTCCACGCTGTATTGGCTCCCTGACACACGCGTTTTTAATGGCACACGAAGATGAGACTGTAGTGTGTCGGAAGAATGTTCCTGAGGCATGTGCAAGGCCCTCTCTGTCGTGACCAGGCTGGGTGCATGAAGTGGGGAAGCAGGAGAGGAGCAAGTTGGATGGGGTAACACGGGATTTAATGGGAGAAAGGAGCAGGGACATGGAACAAGCAGAAACAAGCAGCACTACACAATAAGACTTCAATAGATTTCAATGACAGACCTAGGGAAACATACTCGAACGCGGACTGAAATACACAGCATTAATTGGAAATAACACGAAACATCTGTTAAATGTGGGGATTCCACACGAGGTTAATGAGGGGGCGTGGCACAGAGGAGGATCGGACGAGCAGGGCATGACACTCACTGCTCCCTTCACTCTAGCCCCCCTGCTCCCATTATCCTCTCCTCCTCGGTTCTATCAAGAAAAGCTATGTCTATTCCATTCTGTCTTTTTTAGCTTCCTACTGCCATACTGTGACTCACTGTGCAGTCTCGATCGGTGAAAATAATATTTATTATCACATAAACAGCAAGGATATTTGCAATACAATAAAGACCCTTGTTTCATTTATATTAAACATGTTTGATCCTCCCTATCCTAGAGGACCCCATTAAGACCAGTTTATCTTAGAGCAACTTTATTGACCTGTGGGGCAGAGGTGTGTCAGAGTGGACAGAGTTCACCGGGACAGCCAGTGCACTTTCAGACGCAGGTGTGAACTCCAAATCCGCTATGCCCTTTCCCAGATGTGTTCAAAGAGAGGCCAACTATACACACTGGGAAGAAGGAGCAGACTCCTTCTGCTGACAGTAATTTGATCTGAAGGTCAGTGCTGAGCTCATCAGTTCTGGCAGGTGCAGGGGATGTGAATGCATATTTCCACACACACACACACACGTTTGTAATTACAGATGCTCCTCTACTTACGAATGAGTTACGTTCCGAACGGTCGTTCATAACTTGAAATGTTTCTAAGTCGTTATTCAACGTCATTTTAAGGGTATACACAAGTTCAAAGAACTAGAATGCTGGGAGTATGCATGTTAAGCTACTGCGTGGTGAGAGTAGTGGCCAGAAGTCGTACTAGGCGGAATTGGTGCACAGAAAAAAATTGATGTTGCTGATGGGAGCCCAAGGAACACAGTCCTCTTCGTTTATATGTCTGAAAGTTCGTAAGTAGAGGAGCATCTGTATATCTTTGTTGGGACTTCATTTCTATATGTAAAACTTTAATCCCAACATGACAACCTTAACCAAAAACAAAATACGAGACTACAGGCATTTTAAATTTTTCGATTGCATTCACAGATCTTTGTGGGGATCTGAAAAATGGCGCCCACAACATAAAAAACAGGTTATTATTACATTGTGGGGGACATTTGGTTCCCAAAATATAATGTAAACATAATACACACACACACAAACAGACACACACACTCATTTAATCATAACCTGTGGGGAAATCATGTTTATCACAGGCACATTAATGAAATTTCCTAGCAAACAAAAATAAAATAAACATTTAACACTTCTAATTTACTAAAATGGCAACTCCTTTCAGCATTTTTTTCTCCAACACAAGAGTCCAACACAAGGAAAACATGACCCATAAATATTCTTGAATAAATGATAAATAACTACATAAGCAGAGAGAAAAATAACAGAAAGCTTCAGCAAATAAAACTGTAAAAAGCAAGGCATTTGTCATGTGGACAAGTATTGTTTTTTTCTGATTACACTCTCTTCTCTACACATACAATGAGGGAAATAATTATTTGACCCCCCATTGAATTCCTAGGTTCACTCATTTATATAGAAATGAGAAGTCTATAATTTCAATGGTATGTGTCATGATCCGCTCCGTCCGCTCCTGATGTGTGCCACGCCCACCTCGTTACCTCGTGTTCAGCCCTAATTGTGATCGCCTGTGTCCTGTTAAATCTAGCTTGTCTTTTGTATTTAGTCCTCGTCTGAGTCAGTCTTCCCCAGACTTGTCATTGTATTGTCATGTGCTGTGCTTTGTCCGTCAGTCTGCCTCCATTAAACCCCGTTTGTCCGTATTTCCGGCTCGCTCTCCTGCTTCACCACTTGCCTGCTTGCCGCGAGCTGACAGAATGACAAGTCTCCTCGGAGACACAGCGCAGCAGACCGAGCGCCAACGGCTCGGTCTGCTGCAGGAAGTTGTGTACTGGCTGTCCCAACCCGAGGTCCAGGAGGACCCCATGGCACGGGACTTAGCCAGCCGGAGTGGGGACCTCTTGAGTGAGGCGCCCCCACCCGGAAACGCGTACCCCCTCCGCGAGGTACACGAAAACCTCCGACAGCTGGTCGAGAGGATAATGGAGAGGCGGCTCCAGCCACTCGCCTGCTCCCCGGCCGCCCCGCCTCAGCCGACCAGCCACATTCGGAGGAAAAAAAAGAAGAGGAGAGAACAACACCAGGGAGAAGTGCCGGCGATCTTCCTAAGGGCGTGCTCTCTCTCTCCTGCTTCTCACGCTGTCACCCCGGAAGTCACTGCCGCTGCCTGTCTGGAGGTACCTTCGCGGGCAGCTTCCCCCTTCCGGGGAACACGGCTAGCCCTTAAAGGGGCCAGGGCCGTCTGGGAGGCGATTCCCCGGATTCCCAAGGCCCTTAAAGGGACAGCGCCGGTATGCCCGGCGCCGATCCTGGCGCCTATCGCGGACCTGCCTGCTCCGGACGTGCCTGCAGCACCGGCTGCTACTGCCGCCGCTCTGCCCGCGGCTCCGGCTGCTGCAGCTTCCGCCACTCTGCCCGCGGCACCTCCAGCTGCTGCCGCCGCTCTGCCCGCAGCACCGCCTGCTGCTACTGCCGCCGCTCTGCCCGCGGCACCGGCTGCTGCTGCTGACGCCGCTCTGCCCGTGGCACCGCCTGCAGCACCAGCTGCTACTGCCGCCGCTCTGCCTGCGGCTGCGCTGCCTGATGTCGGCGCCGATCTGCCCGCGGCTGCGCTGCCTGATGCCGCTGCCGATCTGCCCGCGGCACCGCCTGCTGCAGCCTCCGCCGCTTTGCCCGCGACACCGCCTGTCCTGCCGGCTTCGCCTGTCCTGCCGGCTCCTGAACTGCCGGTTTCGCCTGTCCTGCCGGCTCCTGAACAGTTTGTTTCGCCTGTCCTGCCGGCACCTGACCTGCCCGTCCTGCCCTGCTCGCCAGCCCTGCCCGTCTCGCCGGTCCAGTCCGGCTCGCCTGTCGGCACTGCAGCCACGCCCTCGACTGCCGTTGCCGCTCTGCCTGCAGCACCGCCTGCAGCTGGCCGCACGCCCAAGGATTCCGCCACGCTCGCGGCACCCCCTGCTGCTGCCGCTCTGCTCGCGGCGCCCCCTGCGGGCTGCTCGCCTGTCCTGCCCGGCCAGCCCTGTTCGCCTGTCCTGCCTGACTCGCCTGTCCTGCCTGTCCCTGCTACGCCCGCGGCCCCGCCCGCGGCTCCGTCTGCCCCTCCAGAACCCGTGACTCCTGTCCCCGAGGAGGTCCCGGACTGTGACATCCTCATACCTCCTCCTCCAGTGACGAACTTGGAGGAGGAGCTTGAGTTGGACCCCTCGGGGATCCAATTGCTGGGTCCCCCCGACCCAGGTGGGCACCGGTCTCCTACACCG